TGGGTTTTATTAGGATATTTGAGAAAAAACACATCACATTCACTAATTTGATTTATTAGATTTACAAGAGTTATTTAAATAGGAAGGTTTTAAATGTCAAATAATTGAGATACTTAAAAGGAAAAGAGAAATTATTACATTTATAAATTACAATATTTGGGACAATACTTTTTTTATTAAGGTAAAATTCACACAACATCAGACTAATCGTTAACCATTGTAAAGGGTACACGTTCGTACACTCACGGCGTTCTGCAATCTTTATGTCTCCATCTACTCCCAACACATTGTCATCATCCCAAAAGGAAACCCCATGCCCACTGAGCTGTCACTCCCCGTTCCCCTACCCCATCCCTGGCAACCTTAAATCTGCTTTCTGTCTGTAGATTTGCCTGTTTGGGATGTTTCGTGTAGATGAAATCATACAGTACGTGGCTTTTGTGTCTGCTGCTTTTACTCGGCGTAATATTTTTGAGTTTCCTCTATGTTGTAGCATGAATCAGTACTTCATTCCTTTCTATGACTGAATAATATTCCGTTGTGTGGATATACAGGTAGTCCCCGACTTACGACATATTGAGTTTTGACAAACCGCACTTATGACTGTCTTTTTTTTTTTTGTACATCTTACCATTAGTAATACATAATGCATACAATGTTGCAGTGAGTGATTTGCTGATGTTATCATTTGCAGCTGTTCAAACATCTAAAGTTGGATTTATAAAGATACTACTAATAAAAGGCAATAATAATGAAAACAGACCAAGAAGAAGAGATATTCAGCTGACGTCAGAACTGACTCACGACGGAGTTGTCGGAAGGGAACCCTGTCATAAGGCGGGGACTACCTGTACCACATTGCCTTCATTCGTTCATCAGTGATGAGCATTTGGGTAATTCTGATCTTTTGGCTATTGTGAAAGTGCTGCTACAGACATTCGTGTACAACTTTTTGTTTGAATATCTGTTTTCAGTTCCTTTGAGTATATACCTAGGAATAGAATTGCTGGGTCATACGGTAATCCTATGTAAACTTTTTGAGGATAAATGCAATGTTAAAGGCTTAAGAAAAATTCAATTAAATTTTTGCTAAGTTAAAATATGTAATTTAAAAAATTTGTTAGCCGAAATTAAATGCTTAAGTAAAAACTTGGTTTTTGAATTTGTGAGTTTAATGAGATGAACATTAAACTTGTAAGCAGTGTACCCTCTGGCTAACCTTGCCAGCACCAAAAACCTCCCCAAAGCCGCTGTGGACGAGGCCTCCCGCCGGTGCGGGTCAAGGGAGCAAAGCACCCCTGAAAGCACTGTGGACAGAGAAGGATAAAGAAAACGAAAAGGAGACTAAGCAGCGATTAAAACAGGGAAAGTCCAGTCAAGAAGGTACCTGACTGATCCCGGCCAGCACCAGCTGCAGTCAAGTTCACTCCGACTCATGGCGGCCCCATGTGTTCAGAGTAGAACTGTGCTCCCTAGGGTTTTCAGTGGCTGATTTTTTAGAAGTAAATCACCAAACTTTTCTTCTGAGGCACTCCTGGGTGGACTCAGACCTCCAACCTTTTCCTTAGTAGCCGAGCACGTTAATGTTTGCACCACCCAGGAACTCCCAGATTTCTCCCTCCTCCCACCCACTGCCATCGAGTCGATTCCGACTCACAGCGACGCCATAGGATTTCCAAGACTGCACATCTCTACAGAAGCAGACTGCCACATCTTTCTCCCGGAGCCGCTACTGGTTTCGAACCGCGGACCTTTCAGGAAGCAGTCCGTCACGTTAGCCGCTGTGTCACCAGAGCTCCTTTGGATTTGTCCTTAGGGATCTACTGAAGCTTCAGCTTCCGGGGGCCTTGCTTGCCAGGACTTCTCCAGGTCCCCGGGAGGGGCCCCTAGCAGTGTGTTCTCATAGTGATATTTTGTGTGAGGTTTGCAAACTATGAGTATAGCGATTCGAAGTTTGCCTGACTCACATCCAGAGGCAGTTTAGCTGGTTTGAGACAGAAGACAGCACTGTGCTTAAGAGCAGGGATTCTGGGGCCCAGAAGAAACAGCTGCAAATCCCAACTCTGCCTTTTCTAGCTGTGTGAGTTTTGTTGTTGCTGTTAGGTGCTGTTGAGTTGATTTTCGACTCCTAGCGATCCCATGTGGCAGAGTAGAACTGTCCTATAGGGTTTTTAAGCTGTAATCTTTACAGAAGCAGATCGCCAGGTCTTTCTCCTGTGGAGCTGCTGGGTGGGTTCAAACCACCAACCTTTCGGTTAGCTGCTGAGTGTGCTTAACCACCGAGCCACGTTACTTCCTCTCTCTGCGCCTCTGATTCCTTCTCCGTAAAATGACCATTCCACTGGTACTCCCTCAGAGCTGCTCTGACTAGCCTACATCAAGTCTTAGTACTGTGGCTGCTGAAGAGAAAATCAGCGCGGTTTTTGCTGTGTTACACTGAAATCAAAGTGCTCTTGGCAGCTGAGAGTATGGAAGGGACGAGATCACGCAGAGGCATGAAGAAGAGAAAGCAGGGGCACAGGTCACAAGGTTGGGGCGCCCCACACGAGGTCCCTTCCTGCAGAAAACGGCCCTCTTCTGCTCCACACGGCTGCATCTGCTCCCCTGGCAGCCAACGTGGTGTCTCAAGTGAGGGCCTCCTCTCTGTGCTCTGAGGCTCCTGTGGGCTGGAAGGCACAGTAGGATTTGGGGGGTGAAGACGCAGGAGCTGTGCTGGGTTAGGGACAGGGAAGACACAGGGGTGGGAATGCAGGCTGGGGGCAGATCATACAGATGAGGAGAGATGGGAAGAATTCCTGGTCAGAGCAACAAATGCCTGAAACCAGTTGCTGTGAAGTTCATTCCAGGGACGACCCCACGTGTGTCGGAGTAGAACTGTGCTCCAGAGGGTTTTCAATGACTGATTTTTCAGAAGTAGATCACTAGGCCTTTCTTCCGAGGTACCTCTAGGTGGACTCAAACCTCCAACCTTTCGGTTGGCAACCGAGCAGGCTGGCAGTTTGCACCCCCCAGGAACTTCACTAATGCCTAAAGTATCCCTTCTTAGGCCCTGCTGTGAGTGGGGACTTGTTTAATCCCCAGGTGCCCTATGGGGAGGCCCCACTGGAGCACCTGCTTCACAGAGGAGGAGACTTAGGGAAGTGGAATAACTTGCCAAGCCTTCCAATGACTAAGGTGGATTTGAACTCACCCTATGTCACCCAGCCCCAGCAGGCCTCCCAGTGGCCCACCAAGGGCCCACTCCTCAGGCTTCGTTTGTCCTGCGCCCGTAACCACCACCCCACCTGCCTCCAGGAGGCAGGAGATAGAACAGACCTTCCTACCTGCACTTCGTCCCGTGCTGCTGGAGCCTGCAAAGCTGCAGGGGCTGGGCCCAGCTGGCCTGCAGTCCTGCCCGCGCGCTCACTGCTCCGCGCCCGTCAGTCTGCCAGGGATGGACGGACGGAAGACTAGAGAAGCCCAGTCACCAGCAGCCCAGCCCAGCGCGGGCCAGAGGTGGCCGGCCCTGTTCCTGCTGCAGAGAGATGAAACCCCCGATTACATTCCAGGGCCTCCCTCCCGCTGTAAACCCTGGAGCCTGTGTTTGAGGCCCTTCCCGGTATGTGCATGGCCACCTGCAGACCTCCAGCGGCCAGCGTCTCGGGGACTGTGGGGGCAAGAGGCCTTCTGTGCCTGGGCTTTGAGGTGCGGGAAGAGACAGTGAGGTACCTGTGGTTTTCTCAGAGGCCCAGGGCTCCATCCCATGTGCTGTCACCAGCTCCCTCTCCTCCCTTTCTTCTGTTCGACGGAGGCAAATTCTGAAAGGCACAGAGCAGCCAGGGAGTGGAGCCGGGGGACAGCCTAGTGTCAACGATGAAGGGCTGCTCCGTGCCAGACGCCTGCCTCTCGGTTCTTCTGGCAGCAGCCTCACCTCCCGTTACACACAGGGACTGAGGCTCCCCGAGATGGGGTACCAGCCCCCAGAGCTTACCCTCATGACCATGCTGACCACTGGGGCCACCGCCCAAGGCACTGGAGACCCAGGATGGTGGCTCCAGGCGGAACAGCAGGCTTCACCACTCTCCCGCTGTGTGGTCTTAGCGAAGTGACTTAGCCTCTCTGAGCATGACTTTCTTTGTTTATAAGGGTGGTTGTGAAGATGAGAGGACATAAGTGGAAAGCTCCGGCACTTGTGGTGACACGTGCCCAGTAAGTGGCCACTTCCCTCCCGTGATCCTCAGAAGGGGAGGTGGGGACCTGACAAACAGCTCCTTGTACCACCGACCTTGTGTCTAAGTCATGGGTTGCAAGGATGTGCCCCCAAGCCCCAAACAGCCCCCAGGTGAGTATTCTTCATCTGTGGGACAGGCGGTCAGGGCCTCCCCGGTACAGTGCTATCCTGTGGCCCAAGGTCAGGTCATTCGTGCTGACATCTTGGCTGCGTTGGCAGTCAGCACATAGACTGTCTCCTCGGGTCTTTGGGTCATTAGTGACAGCAGCAGAGGGGATGCTCCCCGCTTCTCTAGCTTCCTCTTGTCTGCTTCCACTGTGGGTCACTAACTCTGACCTCCCCGGCCGCTGGGCTGGCCCATGCCTCACCTCAGCTCCCCTGATCTCCAAGTCCTGCCAGAGGTGGGGGGCCCTTCCTGAGAGGACCACACCCCGACGCTTCAGGAGCGGCCAGCCCCCCGGGGATTCTCCAGTGCCCTCCAGTGAGACATCAGAGCTTGTATTTTTATATAAAATGCACATCAGACAGACACAGAGGGAATTCACAACCTCAGTTCCTTGGCGTTGTA